AGGATGAATAATTTGGAATTGAGTTGTCTTGAATAGGTCAATAGGACAGAAATTCAAAAGTAATGATATTTCTAACTTACAGTTAATAAAGCACTTTCATATCTGGATTCATATGATTTCAGAGTTCCCTGTGAGGTAGACAGGGAAGCCAAGACTGTCTTTATTTGAGACTGAAAGAGTGAGAAAAAGAGAAAGAAAATGAAAGGAGGGAGGGAAGGAGGAAGAGGAAAAAAAAATCATTGGAGGTGGATTAGTTTCCGATGGCTGCCATAACAAAATATCACAGACTGGATGATTTAAATATAGGCATTTATTTTCCCACAGTTTTGGAAGCTGAAAAATCCAAAGTCATGAGGTGTCAGTGGCTCACACCAGTAATCTTACCTAGGCAGAGATCAGGATTGTGGTTCGAAGCCAGCAGAGCAACTAGTTCGGGAGACCTAAAAAAGGGCTTGCAGAATGGCTAAAGTGGTAGAGCACCATGAGTTCAAACCCCCAGTACCACCACCAAAACCAAACCAAACCAAAACAAACAAAAAAAAATCAATCAAGGTTTGATTCCTTTAAGTCCTCTCTCCTTGACTTGCAGTGATCACTTTTCTGCTCTGTCCTGTGTGTGTGCTTCCCTGGTTTCAATTCCTCCTCTTCAAAGACCACTGCTCCTATGGCCCACCCTTGTGGCCTTATTTAACTTTAATTACCTCTTTAAAAGCTTTATCCACACATATAGTGGGACTGAACTTCAATATAAATACAAATTTTAGGGGAGCACAATTCAGTCTATAACAGGAAAGAAACTGCAGAGATTTACAGCATTTATTTATTTATTTATTTGACTTCAGGTTTCCAACAATGTAGTGACTAGCACAGGCTTGCTTGCATGGACAGAGAGTGAGGTGGGAAGCATATGCCTGGCTTCTGTCACCCAAAGTGTCCTAAACTCATTTCTCCTTAACCATGTGTTCCACATAGGCTCCATCTTCCTTCCTGCTTCCTTTCTTTTCTTCCTTCCTTCCTTCCTTCCTTCTCTCTCTCTCTTCCTCTCTCCCCTCCCTTCCTCTTCTCTCCCCTCCCCTCTAGTGACTCTTTTCTCACATGACTCTTCTCTAGGTGACTCTCCACTTAAAGAATCCTGAGATTCTTTTTAAGAATTCTTATAGAATTATAGAGACAGAGTCTGCTTTTGTTGTTGTTGACATTGGGAGTTACTGTCTGGAGATACTTCTCTTCTTAGACTTCCCCTGCCACTTCTGTTTTTCAGTCTCCTTGTTCTTGAGGGCAGAGGATGGGTGTGTTGCTGAGTACCTGCCTGAACACAGGCGTCCCTCTGAAGACAGAAGAAACAGCAATAGACAGTAACAAAAAAACAATCACCCTGAGGTTGTGGATTGTTTACTTCCTGACTACAGGAACCTTAGAAATACCTTTACTTTGCCTTGTAAGTGAAAAATAAAACAGTTCCAGCTTCTTTTATGTGGACATGGAGGAGCACTGTGCAAGACAGCTTTCTGTGATGATAGAAACATTTCTTTTCTTTTTCTTGTTTTTAAATAGGAAAGTTTATTAAGTGAAAGAGCAAAGGCTCCCATGGGAAGGGAGGGGTCCCCAATGGGTTGCCCGAAATGTTTCTGTGCTGTGTAATGTGGTAACATAGCCAACTGTGGCTACTGAACACTTGAAAGGTAGTTAGTATTACTAAAGAATTAAGTTTTTATTTTTTATGTCCTCTTAATTTTATGAAGTTTAAATAGCCACATGTGGCTAAAGGCTATTATTTTCAATAGTGTGGAATTCCAGATGGTGTTGATTGGTTAAATGTCCCATTAGTTTTTCTTTTGATCCAATTTATGTTTAGGTGGGTCTCGAAAGATCAAAAAGAAGAGACCATGGGGGATAATAACAGCTAACATTTACTTCGTGTTTATTGTAATTATAATGCCAGGTACTTGTCCAAGCACTTAACAAGCATTTTATATGATCCTAACAACAATAGTAAGTACTATTACTCTCACCATTTTATGAGTAAGAAAACTGAGGTAGGCATTTTACTTGCTTAGGGTCACAAGCCTGGTAAGCAAAAGCTAGGAATGGAATTCACACTCATTTACACTACACAGATTCAGGAGTGAGGTAGCAAAGGTGGCAATGGAGCGATTGGGCAATGATTCCCAAACTGTGCCAAGGTGCAAACTCACAGGGGCACTATGGGATATTTTCATTTTTATTTATTATTTTGTTGAGATGGAATCTCACTGTGTCACCCAGACTGGTCTCAAATTTCTGGGCACGAGGCCCTCCCACCTCAGTTCACCAGCACCTGGGACTATAGGCCAGTGCCACCAGCAGGACATTTTTAAATTCCAAGGGAAATATTTGGTAGTTCTTGTTCATTGTGTAAATTACTAGCTTGAGATCATTCATAGTTTGAACATTACACTGTGCTACATTCCTTTTCATGACACAATATCTTTGTAGAGCTGACTTTAGGAGATCCCACTGATTAAAACAAAAAACAACTAAGCAGTTGTGCAAAAAACATCATGGAACAGGGAATGAAGGTAGCATGTTAGATGTTAATGTTTGAGAATTTATGTGGTACTCAACATGTACATAGATTCCACAAGAGCTATTTGTGGTTATTTAGGAATATAATATTTTGTCTTTCAATTTGTGTGTATGTGTTGTTTAAATGGCTACTAAATTGTTAGGAACCAATGACTCAAGAAGCAAAGTGAGAAAGAAAAAGAAAGATGTTAGGTATTTCTTTGACCTGCAGGTACTATGAAAAATTGTTGGGATAATAAGTACACTGTGAGCTGAGAAACTGGGAACTCTGGACTCAAGAATTTGAAACAGGTCAAAATATTGCAAGTCATCCATTTTTGGTTTACAGACACTTACTTTAGACAGAGTTCACTGAAACTAACTGATTAGGTTTGAACTTCCTTAGATATAGCCAATTGTAATCTTGTTTTATATTAATTAGATTAGATTTCCCTACTTAAAAAAAAAGTCTTGAGCAATCAAAGTTTGATGGATGATTCTGTGGGCTGAGTTTTACTTATGACTGATTTCCATTGTTTGAAATATTGCTTTCAATTTTCCAAATGCTGATGGTCTCATTACTAAAATGAAACTTTACTTTTAGATCATCCTGCTGTTACTTTTGCTAAAATTACTAGATAAATACAAGTAGTAATAATAGTAAGTAGTAACAACAATCATGAGAGAATAAACCACCTACCTGGCTTAGTTCTTTACATATTTTTTTTAACAGATGTTATTTTCACTCTTGTGTCCACAGCACTAGAACAGTTCTGGTGTATAGTTGATGTTCAATTAATACTTGTTAAATAAATGAGAAAAACAGGGTTGAGAAAAACTGGCTGTACCCATGGTAGTAGGTAAAATGGCAAGCAGCATTAGCGTTCAGGAGAAAAACAGGTAGAGGATTTCAACAGCCAAGCAAGGGGCATTGGTGTGAAGCTGATCAAACCTGCAAGTAGGGGAGAAGAAACAGCTGAGTTCTAAAGAAATGGCTGAATTCTTACAAAGATATTATACTATGTAAAAGAAAAAATATTGTGTAATTCTGTTTCAGGAATTTTCATCTTGACAGGAGTCCTTCTGTAGTTATCAGAATTGCTTGGATCCAGTACTGTGCACACATCAACCTGTGGCTATCATGTCTGTGTCTGGGACACAAGATTTCTTTTTTTGTTGTTATTATTTTTGCTATACTGGGGTACACTATGACATTTACAAAAGTTCTTACAATATATCATAGTTGAATTCACCCCTCCATCATAGGACCCAAGGCTTTAGAAATTTTTTCTGCCTATCTGGGTCTGGTGCTGTTCCCCCAAATCCTGAAACCTCAAGTCAGTACTCTTGCCAGTGCAACCCTGCTTCCCTTGTCCAGAAAGCAACTCAGATACAGGCTCACCTTCATTTTTGTTGTTGTTGTTGTTGTTGTTGTTTTTCATGTTATCCCCTTAGTGTGTGACCTGTGTCCAAAACTATTACTGCATTTGTGTTAGGTCTATATTCTGGTATGAGGGAAGGCATACGATTTTTGGCTTTCTGAGCCTGGCTAACTTCGCTTAAGATGATGTTCTCCAGTTCTACCCATTTATTTGCAAATGACAAAATTTCATTCTTTGTGGCTAAGTAAAATTCCATTGTGTAAAATTCCATCTTCATAATCCATTCTTCAGTAGTGAGACATCTTGGCTGTTTCCATAACTTGGCTATTGTGACTAGTGCTGAAATAAACATGGGTGTGCAGTGCTTATGGAATAACCTGAGTTGCATTCCTTTGGGTATATCCCTAGGAGTGGTATTGCTGGATCATATGGCAGATCTATGTTTAGTTTTCTAAAAAGCCTCCATATTGTTTTCCAAAGTGGTTGTACTAACTTACATTCCCACCAGCAGTGTATGAGGGTTCCTTCACCCCTCCTCCCCGCATTTTTAAAATTAGCATATATTAATTGTACAAAAGGGGCCGGGCGCTGATGGCTCATGCCTATTATCCTAGCTACTCAGGAGGCAGCGATCAGGAGGATGGCAGTTTAAAGCACACTCGGCAAATACTTCACCAGACCCTATGTTGAAAATACCCATCACAAAAAGGACTGGCGGAGTGAGTGGCTCAAGGTGAAGGCCCTGAGCTCCAGCCCCAGTACCGCAAGATAAGTAAATAAAATAAAAATTGTACAAAAGGGTTTCACCGTGGTATTTTCGAAGTCCATATATGGCACTTTGATCAGACTACCCACCTCTATTGTGGCTCACTTCGTTTGATTCTGGGGCTGTATGGTCTAAGGCTTGAAAAGTTCTCTTTTCAAATCTCACGGTTTCTTGTAGACACAGAGCGTGGGGTTGCGTAAGAGATGGCTTGGGAGTTAACGGCACTCTTGTAACTCTCTTCCTCACCGGCTTCCTTTGGTGGAAAGCCCGGCCCTGAGAAACCAAGTGTGCAGGGAAGAAATGCTGGGTGCTCCTGGAGGTGGGGGGAGAGGGTCCAGCTGCAGGAAGAACTCTGATTAGTTTTACAGCCTAACCTGGGGCAACCGAATCAGGGAGCGTCACCATGGAGACGGGGCCGGCCTGCGAGCCGAGCTGCCATTGGCTGGCGGCCGGCCGGCTGGGGATATAAGGCAGCGCCCGGCGCGCCCCGCTCTAACCGTGTGGACCAGCCCAGCCCGCGCCGCGCAGCTGCCCGAGCCGAGCCGAGCCACCATGGAGAACCGGTGAGGCGGGCACAGGCCCGGGGACCCCAGGCCACGCGGGAGGAGAAATGGCTGTCACCGAGACCTCGAAACTTGGCACCCTGGGCCCCGAGGGAGGGAGGGAGGGAGTGCCCTGGAGATGCAGAGGCCTGGTATGGAGCCTGGTTTCAGAGCCAGGGCGACAGCAGCGCGCGCGGGAATCGAGCTGTGGTGGCGCCGCCCGAGCAGGAAGGTGACAGCTTAGTGCGGTGTAGGCTACTCCTAAAAGGAACTGTTGTGCGTCGGTTTGTGCAAGTGGAGAGCGGGTATTAACCCGATTCCATACCAGGGAAGAGGTCCCCGCTTTCTTTACGAATTCCCAGCCTAGGGGCTCGGTAAAGCCGGGAGTTACTTTCAGTCCGCAAGTCTGGAATTTATTCTTTGTGGAAAAAATTGCTCACGTCCTAAGCCAGCTCCTCCCTTCCCTCCAAATTAGAGGTCCGATTAACCAGTTGGAAATGAAGTCGCAAGGAGAGAAGGAAATCTTTATGGGTTGAGCTGAGCAACAGACATCTACCTGCCCACTCCTGCCCACCCCACAGCTTGGGAAAACCCTTCTCTCTGCTGCCTTGGTCTTGGAATTCTTTGTCCCCCTCTCCCCCACCCCCTCGCTAGCATACCTGCAGGGCTCTCAGGGTGCTCTTGGGGGACAGACGGCCACAGCTTCACACTTGTTTCATTTCCTTTGCACCTCTGGGGGTTGCTATTTCAATATTTACTGCTCTCTGCATCACCTGTACTCTATGGCCGCTCTCCCCTCACCCCACCCCCACTACCTAGCTACTCGCCCAGGGTAACCCCGTGTATTGTGGACTCATGTATGCTTTCTTAGACTCCACTTTGCCTTGGTTGGGACTATAGGCACGCCCAGCCCCTGGGCTCTGCTTGGTTATAGTGGTGCTCTTATTTGCTCCAGCTCAGTGCCATCTCTGAGAGCAATCTTTGGTCTTTTCAGATGAGCGAGATGGAATTGAACTTGGAACTGTGAGAAAAGTTCTGGGTTTGTTCTTGCCAGTAGTGTAGTTTCTGGGAAAGTATTTGATGCTCTTAGCACTCTAAGGGGCAAAGAGCATTAGTGTGAAGAGAAAGGAAGATGGAGTAAGCAGGAAGTTAAAGGAGGGGCGGGAGGGGAAAGCAGGAGAAAAGGTCAAGTGCTGTATGTAACACAGCCATAGTTCTTTGGAGCGTCTTAACAAGGTTTTTAATTTTGATTTATTTTTCCATGCTGGGGATTGGACCCAGGGTCTCATGCATGCTGGGCAAGCACTCGACCACTGAGCTACAGTCTCAGCAGCAAGTTTTTAATTTGTAGGTGTGAGTCCAGAATTTTTTTTTTAATGGTACTGGGTTAGAATTCAGGACTTGGAGTTTGCTATGCAGGCACACTATCATGTGAGCCACACCTCCAGCCCTTTTTGGAGATTATTTTGGAGATAGGGCTTCACTTTTTGCCCAGCTGGCGGGAACCACAATCCTCCTTGTTTAGGCTTCCTGTCATAGGTAGAATGAGAGGCACATGTCGACTATTGGGTGAGATAGGATCATGCTAACTTTTTGGCTCCCACTGGCTGCAAACCACGATCCTCTCCATCTCAAGTAGCTAGATTAGGTGTGAGCCACTGGTGTGTTGCTGCTGAAAATTGTATTTTTAACAAACTTCTGCTGAGAATTTATGCAGTCTGTCCTTGTTTGCCTTTGACAATGAGTGTTGTCGATTGGGTCTGCTTTTTTTTGCAGTAGTTTAGTCTCTGGTCTTGGGTATCTTTGCATACCATTAGACAAGGGTCTGTGTGAGCCTGGGAAACCCAGAAGTAGGATCCAGGGGAACTAGTAATGACACATCACGGACTTCTGGTAGGTGTTCCTGTTGCTTTTCTTTTTTCCTTTTTCCCCAGTATTGGGGTTTAAAGTCAGGGCCTACATCTTGAACCACTCTGCCAGCCCTTTTTTGTGATGGGTTTTTTGAGGTAGGGTCTCATGTGAACTATTTCCCCGAGGCTGGCTTCGAACCTCAATCCTCCTGATCTCTGCCTCCTGAGTAGCTATGATTACAGGCATGAGCCACTGGGACCTGACTCCTTTTTTTTTCCTTCTTTGTTTTTGGGTTTTGTTGCTGTTGTTTGGTTTTTTCTTGTTGTTGTTTGTTTGTTTGTGTATGCAGGTTAACCGAAACTGGCCTTAGTTTCCTGTTGCTTTTCTTTCTAATTAAAAAAAAAAAATTAGCCCTAAGAGATTCCTGAAGTCCCAGCTATTAATTAGGAAGACTGAAGTGGGAGAATCACTTGAGCCTAGAAGTTCAAGACCAGGCTGGGAAACTTAGAGAAACCCTGCCTTGGACAAACAAAAGGTGAAACAAGTAAACGACAAAGGCCAGGGTGTGCTGGCTCAGTAGTCGTGCTTACCTGGCATCTGGGAGGCCCTGCTTTGGATCAAAAGGAAGAAAATATAACTGTCTTAGTTTTTGGTTGAGGAAGGAGCTGGAGGGTGAGGATCCAAAAGAAAATTGGGTTTATTTCTGCCTTTAGAGCAGTTAGTCTTCACAACTGCTTAGGGGATAGGTAGGTTAAAGGAAAATGGTATCAGATTCCTCAGTGCCCTCAGGAAGGTCTAATTCCATTTCCAGTGTTCTCCTTAGGTTTACTCTCCTTGATTGTTTCATTACATTTCTTTGGAACCTGTGGTCCTCTTGCTAAGTATTTATTATAAAAGAGAGGAATTAAACCTCCTGGTATGGCACAGTGGCAGAGCACTTTCCTAACATTTGGGAGACCCTGGGTTTGATCCCCTATACCACAAAAATAAAATAAAGCAAAACAAAACCTGACAGTATTGGCAACTCTGGAATTGGGGCTGTTATAGTAGATATGGGTTTCAGTAACTTTTGCCAGGCCTTTGAATGAAGGGAGTTTCATGCCAGGCTTTCACAGGGTCTTATAAATCAAAAAAGGAGTAGGTGAATGGAATGGGTGAGTGAACATACCTTGGCTTCTCCCTCTGGGCAGTTTCTCTGTCTTCTTATGCTTCAGTAGACTGCCAGCTTTTCTGCATTAAAGTCATTTGTCTATGAGTCCCTTGGAATAGGAGGAGAATTCATTTTGATTTCCTTTTATCCCCTAGATTCACATATGAAGATTATGAGAACACTGCAGAATGGCTTCTGACTCACACTAAGCACCGACCTCACGTGGCAGTGATCTGCGGTTCTGGCTTAGGAGGTCTGACAGATAGATTAACTGAGGCCCAGATCTTTGACTACAGTGAGATACCCAACTTTTCCCAAAGCACAGGTACTTACAAAGGAATGCAGGGGATAGAACTGATGGAATTCTAATACCGTGGAATCCAGTCAGGGAGCCAATGCTTCCACTCCTGGATATAGCAACATTTGATCAAAGACAAATGTTGTAAGAGAGGAAAAAAGACTCAATTTTAAAAGGAAATTCCCCTAACAGAAATTGCATAACAGACTGGGCATGAGTGTCAGTGGGACTATGATGACATCTTTCATGTGCTTTACTGACTCAGCTCCCTAAAGCTGTGTGACACCTCTCCTCCCATCTACCATCACCACGTACACACACACACACCCCTCTAATTTCCTCAGCTTGTAGCTTAAATGGAAATGGCACTGTTGGTAGCCTCCCAGGACAATGTCTTCCTGCTATTCTCCATTCTCCCATCTCTAGCTCCAGGCCTAGACACATGCCAGTGCATAGCGACAAATGAACACACATACAATAATGCTGTTACAGATACAGTCACAAATTAATGCATGAATGCACGAGACCTGATTCCCACTCACATACAGTGGAACTCTGCAGGATTTGAAGCTAGCATATCCAGCATTCCAGTAGCAGCCAGAAACCTCCAAGTCTAGGACTTAGAAAAGGGCAAGTAAAGGACATGGGTAGTTTATTTGGCTTACTTATTCTCAAAGAACTAACTTCCATTCATTTATTTATTAATTTTTAGATTTCTATCTTCCTTTTTCCCTGAAGAGTTAGTACTTTTAATAAATATTTTAAAATGCTTTGGAACAAGACTGGAGACCAGGACATGTATGAAGGGTACCCACTCTGGAAGGTAAATTAGAGGCTGCGGCCTGGGTGAATATGGAAAAGGTGAGGGAGAACTATTTTATTACCTGGATATTTGGAATAAGTAAGTTTTTTTGTCCCCTTTTTCCTCTTTTTTTTTCATGATGAGCAGATGTTGGAGAAGGAAATAGTAAAAAGGAGCGGCTGAGGGAGGTCATAGTCCTCTAAGGGAGATGGTAGTGGCTCCATCTGCCACTCCTCCCTCCATCGAGAAGGGCATTGTACCAAGTAATAAGTCAGTTAATTTTAAATTTGTCCACTTATCTGCTTCTTATACTCCATTTGGGTTTCCTAACTGTGTCAGCTTTGTGCTATTTCAGTATTTTTTTGTGAGTGCCTCTAAAGACGATTCTTCTAAACAAAGGAGGGAAGTTGCATTTGTATGATTGTGCTTGTTGGTCTCTCCACCAGACTTTTAATGTCTTTTGTTTAATTATATCCTCACATGTCAAGCACAATGACCAAGTGGCTCCTGGTAAGTGCTTGATGGATAGGTGTTACATGAAACCGTAGTCCCTTTCATTTTCTTTTCTTTTCTGCATACAGTGCCAGGCCATGCTGGTCAGCTAGTGTTTGGGGTCCTGAATGGCGTAACCTGTGTGATGATGAAGGGCAGGTTCCACATGTATGAAGGGTACCCACTCTGGAAGGTAAATTAGAGGCTGCGGCCTGGGTGAATATGGAAAAGGTGAGGGAGAACTATTTTATTACCTGGATATTTGGAATAAGTAAGTTTTTTTGTCCCCTTTTTCCTCTTTTTTTTTTTTCATGATGTGTAGTATGTCCATATTTGTAGGTAGACTGGTGAAGTTTTGAAAACACCTCTTTTTTTTTTTTTTTTTTGGCAGTACTAGAGTTTGAACTCAGGTCTTCATGCTTGCTAGGTAGGCACTGTACCACTTGAGCCATGCTGTCAGCACCGAAAAAAATTTCTCTAATCTTTTGTTTCTAAGGTGACATTCCCAGTAAGGGTATTCCGGCTTTTGGGTGTGGATACCTTGGTGGTCACCAATGCAGCTGGAGGGCTTAATCCCAAGTTCGAGGTTGGAGATATCATGTTGATCCGTGATCACATCAACTTCCCTGGCTTCTGTGGTCAGAACCCTCTTCAGGGGCCCAATGATGAAAGGTTTGTATCTTGCTCCTTTGTTTCTGGATCTGTAGGGTTTAAGGACTGGTCTGGGAGGTGGGAGAGAGCTCACTGAATTCCATTTACCTGAGGTGATCCAACCTGTGCCGTAGGTTTGGAGTCCGTTTCCCTGCCATGTCTGATGCTTATGACCGGAATATGAGGCAGAAGGCCTTCAGTGCCTGGAAACAGATGGGGGAGCAGCGAGAGCTACAGGAAGGCACCTATGTGATGTTGGCGGGCCCCAGCTTTGAGACAATAGCGGAGTGTCGTCTGCTGCAGAGGCTGGGGGCGGATGCTGTTGGTGAGAAGGGGATTTTGACTGGAGGTTTGAGGAAGGGATTTGATAAAATAGGGGAGATGGGGAAGAGAAGATTACAGACTTAGTTGGATTGAGAGAGACCTAGTTAGATTAAGGGAAGAATGCATTGAACTTCTAGGACAATCAAGTGAGGTCCCAGCCGGGTGCATGCCTGTAATCCTAGCTACTCAGGAGGCAAAGATCAGGAGGATCGTGGTTCAAAGTCAGCCCAGGCAAATAGTTCCAAGAGACTCTATCTCGAAAAAACCCATCACACCACACAAAAAAAGAGCCAATGAGTGGCTCAAGGTGTAGGCCTTGAGTTCAAACCCCAGTACCACCAAGATAAATAAGTAAATAACCAGAGCAAAAAGGACTGGAGGTGTGGCTCAAGTCGCAGAGTGCCTGCTTTGCAAGGGTTCAATTTGTAAGGCTATCTGAGGCCCCACTTATTTTAAGTAATACAGGACCATATAAGCTCAAAACTAATATAGCTGCTTCTCTGGATGCTTTTCAAAATTTTACATTCTCAATGAAGTTAATAATTAAATTAATAGTGAGATTAAGCATTAGTTAGCACAGAAAGCCAAGAGACAAAATAGTTGATTTCTCTCTTTCTCCCCATCAGGCATGAGCACAGTGCCAGAAGTTATAGTTGCACGGCACTGTGGTCTTCGAGTGTTTGGCTTCTCACTCATCACTAACAAGGTCATCCTGGATTATGAAAACATGGGGAAGGCCAATCATGAGGAAGTGCTAGAGGCTGGGAAGCAAGCTGCACAGAAATTGGAACAGTTTGTCTCCATTCTCATAGCCAGCATTCCGTTCCCTGACAAAACCAGCTGACCATTGCTCGAGTGGTCCGGTGCTCCCCTGATGGCATCCAAATAGCTTCTAGCTACTTTGGCCTCTTGCTGGGTGCCTGTGCCTCTGTCCTTAGGAAGTCACAAAAAGGAAAGAGGAAGCCGCTAACCTCCACCTTCCCCACTTCCCCTCACTAGACATTCCAGTACCAAGTCCTCTTGCTCAGTTGCCTTCTCAAAGCAGCTTGTTTGAACCTCTATTCTTCTGTGAGTGCTGGAGCCTATGCCCTAGCTGGGGGTCTGCCCCATAATTTGATATATGCCCTTGAACTTTGGGAGGTGATGCCCTCATGGTCTTGGGGACTCAGTTCTGATTCACTTGGCGACCAAACAAAAACCAGCACCATACCTCTTGGACTTTAACACCATCATATTTTGAGAATAAAGAGATGAAATAATTTGTTCATTTTTGGAGTACAATTTGGGATGAGGCTGGGCATACACCTAGACTGGCATGAAAAGCCCTGAGACCATGTGCTTTGTGTGACTGCTTTGCAGACAAGTAGCCGAGGACTGAGATGAGGAGGTCTGTGAGCAGCAGAGGATGAAGAAAAGGCAAAATGATGAACAATGTTACAAGATGAGGAAGGGCAACTTCTGGTCCTTGTGACCACTTCTGCCTCTCAGTCCAGTCTTGCCTCTGTCACTTGCCTTCTGATGATTTCACTCCCTGATACTCTCATGAACATCTGAATTTTACTGACCTCAGTTTCTGCTCGTGAGTCGCCACTTATTAAGACCCTAGTTAGTTTTTTCCTTGCATTTCTTCCTTCCTCCTCTCTAATTCTGAGTCATACTCTCCTCCATTCCATCCTGACAATGCAGAGGCAAGTACCCTTTTGTCTGCTGCCAGCCACCCCGCTGCTGGCTAGCTCCCTCCTGCCAACCCGAGCAACCCAGTGGAGTTGTTCGTAATCAATTTCTCTTTAAGCAGTTCCTATCCTGCCACTTTCTGGGCTCCAGTCTCACTTTTGCTTGATCAGAACCTCCCTGTGACACTGCATTCAGACATTGCTTTTTGTTGGCTCATTATACTGTCTTTGCTTATCAACTTGCATTCAGCTTGCCGCACTGCTCTCCTATGCCTATGTGCTTTTTAAGAAAAGGCAGTGCTGGATGAACCTCTTATGATGATGATATCTCAGTTGTCAGTGGTATAATATGGAAGAGATATTTTGATGACAGGAAGCTTTTGAGAACTCTTTCAAATTATCCTTTGTTTGGTAACTGACCTACTTAGCTGAGCCCAGCCCAAATAAAAAGCATTATGGAGTAGTCCTTTGGCTACAATTCCTTTCATCAGTTCCTGGATCTTTTGCCAGTATGCTAATATGTTAACTGTTGCCGAGAGCTAGTTTAGAGGAGCTATACTTGTTCGTCTACTCTGTGTGTGTGTGTGTGTATGTGTGTTTGTGTCTGTGTGTTGCTGGAGATCGAAACTGTGAACTACACTCTTCTCTCCCTGCCACTACTAAGCCCCTGAGCTTAGTCTTGGAGGATTAGAGAAAGGATTTCATATCAGGATAATCCAAACTGTAGACCTGTGAAAAGCACTAGACAAGCTCATGGATAAACGTCAAAACTGATGACTAGAACAGAGAATGAAGTACTCTAGTGAGATGAGGGCAGAAAAGTCATTGGTGGTTAGAGGACGGCTGCATTTGTGCTTGCCTTTCCTTTGTGTATGTTGATTGTGTTCTTATTTAATTTTTATTTTTGGTTAGTGTACATTTTATCTTTTTTTACGTGCTTGGCTTTCTACCTGATCTGCCTCTTGGCCAGACTGATCATGAACCAGAATAATGCCACCAGAAAAATACATCCTGGAGATTCTTGAATGGAATATTTAGGGGAGTTTTTAGCTTTTTAGATTTAGTAGGAGAGTTTATTAAATTCATATGAATTTATATGAAGACATAAATTGTCTTCAGTTTCTTAAAAAACTAAAAAAGCTATATTGAGTAGGGCACTGATGGTTTATGCCTGTAATCTTAGCTACTCAGGAGGCAGAGGTCAGGAGGAATGCAGTTTGAAGCCAGCCTGGGCAAATAGTTCACCAGACCCTATCTCAAAAAAATCCAACACAAAGCAGAGCTGGCAGAGTGGTTCAAGTGGTAGAGCACCTGCCTTGCAAGTGTGAGGCCCTGGGTTCAAGCCTCAGTCCCAACAACAACAAAAGTTGTATTAAGTTAAAATTCACATGCCATAAAATGTACCCATTTACTGTGTACAATATCTAGTGTACTCACGGATTAATGTGTTCGTTACCAATAAATTTTAGAGCATTTTATCACTTCAAGAGGAAACCTTACCCACTCCCAACCTCCCATTCATCCCAACTCTTAAACAACCATTAGTCTGTTTTTTAGCCCTATAGATTTAACTATTTTGGACTTTCATATGAATACAGTTATATAAAGAATCCTGTGAATTTCGTGACTGACATCTTAATATATTTTCAAGCTTCATTCACAGTATAGTACATATCAGAACTCAATTTTTCATGGCCAAATAAATATTCCATTGTATGAATATACCACATCTTGTTTCTCTAACCTGAAAGTACTGATCCATCCAGCTGTAACTGAATGTACCAGTATAAGAACAAAGAGTAACAGCTCAAGGTTAATGGAACTAGGTCTGGAAGGGCCCTCTAGTCAAAGGAAGTTGTTGGAGAAAACTGGTGATATGTCCATTCCATTGTGGTAGATGTTAAAACACATTCCAGTCAGGCTTTCTTCCTTGGCCCTACCGTGATCATTTTTATCAGCATCAATGAGTATTTATTAATTGTGTGCTAAGCATAGAACATTGCCCTAAAAACCTGAACATAAATTGGCTTGAGACCACATGCTCATAATCTAGATGGGTGACAAGATACAAGCATAAAAAAGATAAGCAGCAAGGCTAAGGTAGTTGTGCTCTCTGTTCCTGCTAGTGACTACTACTAGTCTTTTTGTACATTATACTGTCATTTTTTAAAATTGGGTTTCTCCAAGGGTTAGAGGTGTGGGTCAAGTGGTAGAGAACCTCCCTAGTAAGAGTGAGGCTCTGAGTTCAAACCCCAGTACTGCCAAAAAAAAAAAAAAAACAGGCTTTCTCCTCTGAATGGAGAGGAACTGGGCCTAATTTGATGTGTTTTGCTTTGTTTTAAGGAATAACTAATGTGTGAAAAGTAGCATATGCTAACTGTTAAAGATGGTATGCATGGTATGGCTATAGGAATTCAAAGGAAAACCAACACCCCTGCCCCATTGGAGTGGAGAAAGAACGGATGAGACTTGAATTAGGGATGATATGCGAAGAGGATATGGCAGGAGGAGCTACTCACAGGCAAATTCAGGAGTATTTAATCACTTAGCATATTAAAATGGATAACTGAAGAAATGAATGGAATGTGGGAGGTAAATAGAGAGAGACTAGATCCTGTAAGGCTAGTCAGGCTAAGGTTAAGAACCTTATCTTCAAGGTAAGATAAGTGGCCACTAAAGTCTTCTAAACTAAATACCCATAGGTGAACATTTCACTGCATTGTTTTGATGGATAGAAGCCTAAAGGAAGGAAAGAGGTTTGTTTTGGTGGTAAAATTACTTTCACATAAAATTAACTGTATAGAATATATATATTTTTTGGTAGTAATGGGTTTTGAACTGGGTTTGCTAGGCATGCACATCTACCACTTGAGCCTCTCCATAGCTCTGTTTTGTGATGATTTTTTTTTTGAGATAGGGTCTCTCAAACTATTTGGTTGGGCTGGGTTCAAACCACAATTCTCCTGATGGCTACCTACTGAGTAGCTAGGATTGCAGGCATGAGTGTTGACAATAATGGCGCCAATAGGTTTCAGTTTTTACTGCACCCTTAAGCTTCTGTTTTCCAGGGTCATGGTCCTGCCTCAAGTCTAGCTTGAACCCTCCTTCTGCCCCAACCTCCAATCAGCATGAACCATAAGATCCTAACCAATCAGATCATGCCGAGTCTCACTGAGGGGTATTTAAGCCCCTGCCCCTCTCTCCCTCTCTCTACTCTCTCCCTCTCCCACCCGGCAATAAAGAATCTCTTGGCCAGATCACTCCTCTCCACTTGGTCACTTTTGGGGCCTATATTTCCTTACAATGAGAATAGCATAATTGTTGGTGTTAAGTATTTGTTTTTTTACCTTCAGTTGAGGTCTTTTGTGATGTCTTGAAGAATAAGCTGTTAGGGAATAGGAGTACAGCTCAATGGTATAGTGCTTGCTTAGCAATGTGCAAGACCCTGGGTTCAACCCCAAGCACTTTAGGGGTGAAATTAGGCTGTAATAAAATAACATGTAAATGTGAAAGTGCAAACAATTTAGAAATGAAAATATAAACTGGAAGACAGGCACCAGTGGCTCACGCCTGTAATCCTAGCTACTCAGGAGGTAGAGATCAGGAGGATTGAAGTTCAAAGCCAGCCCAGGTAAGTAGTTCATGAGACCCTATGTCAAAAATACCCATCACAAAACAGGGCTGGTAGAGTGGTTCAAATGGTAGAGCACCTAACAAGCAAGCATGAGGCAGAAGAAACACACTGGAGGCAACATGGCAGTTCTGGATGTAGTGACTTCTAGAATTGGTAATAACAATAAAATTTCTGCTTTTCATCCTCATCTACAAATACTACAACAGTATACTGAGATGAGAAATCTGCTTGCACAGGAATCTGTGCATTGGTAAGTCAGGCAATGCACTCATCAGTTTACAATGTACGCTATCAACAACAAGAAAAATGAAGTTATGGAAGATGAATTTTGCCATCAGACTGCCAGTCTGTCACGAAGGTGACTTTGTCACCTCAAATACTTCTGGCTTCTTTTCTATGAAAATGTGAATTAGCAGAGACCAAGTGGTCTGTGATTATCAGGGAAGAGGAAAGAAGAATGAATGTAGTGAGAGAAAGAAGGAATTCCTTCTTCTACAACCACGGTCGATCGTAGGTAATATTTCTTAAACCAATCCCTTTGCAGTGTCCAGCTTAAGCCCTTCTTCCCCCTGTGATTCACCCAGATTTATGATATTTACCTAATTTTTCAGTCTGGTAGGTGGGGTGTAGATCTGTGGTAGAATGCTTGCCTAGCATTTGTGAAGCCCTAGGTTCGGTCCCCAACACCAAAGAACAAACAAATAAAATACATCTGTATTTTTTAAAAAAAGAAAAGAAAATGCAATAAGATCAAATTAGTAGTTTTATCTGCTTTTCAGTTTAAAATTTTGAGTGGGTGATATAACCATATAGTTAACCCAAGCAACCTCAAATGTATACACTGAAAAGCTCAGCTCCATCCTGTCCTCATCCTTTGACTTTTCCTTCCCCATCCCTTGGTAGCCACTTTTATTAGTTTCTTTTGCATTCTAGGATTTATACAATAAACAAGTGCAAGTTTGTTCTTCTTATATTATATTTTATATTATATACACAAGTATATTATATATACCTCTCTGCATCATGTAGGGTTTTTTTTTAACTTAATATATTTGGAGATTTTTTTTTCAAATCAATAAATTAGTGTGCTTCCTTGATGATTTAAGTCAATACTGTTGCCTCACATATTTTAGAAGCAAAGGAAGATTGTGGACTTAATTTTTTTTAGCCACTTCCCAGTCCATGTGTTGATCACTAATAGGAGTAGAGACAAAGAGATAATACCACCTGCTCCCCAGTAAAGCAAGGTGAAGAGAGGGAGCTATTTGTTCTGTGCTCTGCCTCCTGCCTAAATTTCATTTGACTTACATTTGTGCTGCCTTTTTTCCCTTGTAAATAGACCTCTGCTTTTCATAGTTTTGTTTCTAAAAGACATCTTTTGAACAAACACTGGCTATCTGCCTGGTTTTTCTGTTATTGTAAATTTGAATTTCAATAAAAGTGGAAAATTTACTCTGCATAATCTTTCTACCTCATTTTTAGTTTTGGCCTAAATTAGATTAGTTTTTTTTTTTTTGAGATTAATCTGCCCTTGTTCTCAGGTCAAAGAACCCCTACTCCTCTATTCGGCTTTCATTTTCACTTCCGTGGGATTGTGTTTGTTCATTCTATGAAGGTGACTTTATTTCAGTTTCTAATTTCTTCCCTTTTTTGTCTTGTTCTCTGTTCCTGTGTGTGTGTTGCTGTTTTGCCTGTAAGCTATTTGATTTTGGCCTTGGTTTTTCCTTTTTCTGTTTTCTTCTAAACTGTTTCTGCTATAATTTGTAATAAAAGATTAG